GACAGGACAAGGGGCAACGGGCACAAACTGAGGCAGAGGAAGTTCCGTCCGAAGATGAGGAAGAACTTCTTCCCTCTGAGGGTGACGGAGCCCTGGCCCAGGCTGCCCAGGGAGGCTGTGGAGTCTCCTTCTCTGGAGATATTCCAGCCCCGCCTGGCCGCGGTGCTGTGCCCCCTGCTGTGGGTGACCCTGCTTGGGCAGGGGGTTGGGCTGGGGGACCCACAGAGGGCCCTGCCAACCCCCACCATTCTGTGATTCTGTGAGGACTGCCCGGACTTGAGGCGACACCCAGCTGCTCTCCCCTCCTAGCTGGAGATGCCATCTCCTTCACCGCAACACGAGCATCACGGGGCTGGACCGGTGCCTCCGTTCGCTCTCCGGCCACGCGTGGGAGCGTCACCCAGCAGAAACCGAGAGGCACCACGCAGGTGGCTTCACCAGCACGGTGAGAAGCAGCACGTATCCAGGGACTCCCACCCAATACGGGAATTTGCTGTCTCCAGCCAATTAAACCATTTAATTACATATTTTGTTTCCAAGGGACAGCAAGAATTAATTCGCTACAAGGGCCTTGTTTGTTTGCAAAGCGCCGCTCCCCGAGCGCCAAGAGCTCAGATTGCTTTGATCACCGGGCACCGGTCACTGCTGCAGCTCTGCCCCCGAGCCGGACGCGTCTCATCAGGCAGCCGGGCAGCGGCGCCGCGCTCAGCGTCACCCAGCCCTCTCCCAGGGGCTTCCTGCTACCAGTCAGCGCCTGCGACCCGCTTCTGGGGGCAGAGGAGAAACAGTCTGCAAGATTGAAGTCTTCAGAGAGAAACGGTGCCCTGTAGCCCGCGAGCTCGTGGTGCGCTGCACGGAGAACATGCGGCGTCGGCCAAAGTCGGGCTGTCCGTATGCAGGCTCAGCACGAAAAATAAAATCTTAGACATCTCCCCCCATTCTTCCGAGCTCGTGGTGCGCTGCACGGAGAACATGCGGCGTCGGCCAAAGTCGGGCTGTCCGTATGCAGGCTCAGCACGAAAAATAAAATCTTAGACATCTCCCCCCATTCTTCTTCCACTCCTTCATCAACGACCTGGATGAAGAGTTCTAGTGCACCCTCAGCAAGTTTGCTGATGACACCAAGCTGGGAGGAGGCTGCTGTCGTAGGAACGAATCCAGGAGCCACTGCTGCGGGGCTTTCTGGGAAACTCGGCTTTATCGCTTCGGTGGCCGTGGGGGGCACTGGGGGCAGAAACCAAAGTTGGATCAAACACTCGGATCTCAGCAAACAGCTTTGTCTTCTGGAGCTGCCAGGGTGTGAATCAGCCTCTCGAGGGGCTGCCCGCAGCAGCAACCCTGATGAGTAAGCTCCCCTACCTTCAGCATCCCGGCCGGGTCGGACTAAAATAGAACTGGGTTTTATTGCCAATTTTCAGAAGATGAGTTTGCGTAATACCTGGAAAAACACTCGTACCTTGAGAGAAGCGACTGCTGTGGCAAAGCTGAGCAACGTTCAGCATCAAACAAGCATTCCAGTTCAATCCTGAGCCCTAGGTAGAGCCACAAGCTCCAGAAATACTTCCTACCTTGGAAGTGTTCAACTACTCTCCTCTTGGCTTGTTCACTAAAATCACCAATCAAGATCCCATGATAGATCAAACATGAAGCCGAGGAAGCTCCAGCTGAACCCGAGGAAGAACTTCTTCCCTCTGAGGGTGACGGAGCCCTGGCCCAGGCTGCCCAGGGAGGCTGTGGAGTCTCCTTCTCTGGAGATATTCCAGCCCCGCCTGGCCGCGGTGCTGTGCAGCCTGCTGTGGGTGACCCTGCTTGGGCAGGGGGCTGGGCTGGGTGACCCACAGAGGTCCCTGCCATCCCCTACCATTTGGTGATTCTGTTCTGGCAAGCACATTATTGCCAGTGTGGAGAATGTCTTGGAGGATTTGGGCAGGACGCCACTTCCTAGGTAAGCAACGAGTTAATAGATTTGCAGGAAAGCCTCTTTACAAAGAAAAGAAGGGGGGGGAAAAAAAAAGGGGGGTGAGGATTAAAACCGTATCCTCTTACCAGAGCGCTCCGTGGACAGGCTGCTGTGTCTGCTCGGCGATTTGGTTACCTCAGGAACGTTTGCAGCCAAGCCCAGGCTGGCAGAAGAGATGGTGCTGTCGGATCCCAGGGAGGTGTTGGATTGCGTCAGGGACGACTTGCGCAGCTTGTTCTTCAAGAAGAAGCCCTTGACTTTGGACTTCTTGCCCCCACTGTCGTAGTCATCCTCCATGTCGAGGGCGCCCATGCTGCTGGGGATGATGGCAGAGGCCGACTCCAAGTCGTATTTCTTCTTGCCTTTCACCTTGTCCTTCAGCTTGCCAAAGGGTGACCGTGGTTTGTCCTTCATGGACAGGTCGAACATGCTGGCTGTGAGGTTGTTGCGCGTAAACTGGATGCTCACCAGGATCTCACCACGCTCCTTCTCCTTCTTCCCAGCCTTGGAGTGTAGCTTGTGCCACCTGGAGCCAGAGAGGAAAGAAAAGGCAAGGCCCATGCATCATTCCCAAGAGCCACAAGCCAGGGAGACCTCAGGGACGACGCTGCTGAGCAGGAGCTAGCACAAGCGCCCCAGAAGTCACCTAAGCCCTGAGTCAGAGACGCAAACACCAAGCACTGAGGTGTCACACGGGACCAGACCCCTCCCTGAGCCGCAGCAGCTTGGTAAGGGCTCTGTCTCCATCCCCATCCCAAACCACTACCACCAAATAACCCAGCAAACACCACCTTGCTCACCCTGGCGTCGGGTACCGCCGTGCGTCTCAGGGCGGAGGTTACTGGTGGCCAAGGTTTTGCACAGTCAGTTGACAGGTTGCTGTGAGCCCGTGTTTAAAAAAAGACAGAGCTTTGTGCTCGTCTTTTAAATATTCAAGAGCCAGTGACTCAGAACAAATCCTTTCAAGTCAGAGGCAGCACGGCAACGGCAAAGGCACTCAACAACATCCATCAAAATAACTTCATGCCAGACCCTCCGTGCCTCACCCTAAATAAAGACGCTGAAGCTTGCCTAGCAGTGTCCTTGCATCAGGCATTTAGAGGATGCTGCATCCCAGGAGCCCTTTACAGAATCACAGAATCACACATGGGGGTTGGAAGGGACCTCTGGGGGTCACCCAGCCCAACCCCCTGCCCAAGCAGGGTCACCCAGAGCAGGCTGCACAGGACCTTGTCCAGATGGGGTTTGAATATCTCCAGAGAAGGAGACTCCACAGCCTCCCTGGGCAGCCTGGGCCAGGGCTCCTCGCCCGCAGAGGGAATATGTTCTTCCTCAGCTTCAGCGGGACCTTCCTCTGCTTCAGTTTGTGCCCGTTGCCCCTTGTCCTGTCGCTGGGCACCACTGGAAAGAGTCTGGCCCCGTCCTCCTGACCCCCACCCTGCAGATATTTAGAGGCATTTCGAAGGTCCCCTCTCAGCCTTCTCTTCTCCAGGCTGAACAAGCCCAGCTCCCTCAGCCTCTCCTCGTAGCAGAGATGCTCCAGCCCCTTCATCATCCTCGTAGCCCTCCACTGGGGCTGTCTCCAGTAGCTCCTCAGGCAGGAGGAGCTGCCACGCAGCACCAACCCCACCCAACACAATCAAACCCTACGCGGGTGCCTGGATTTTGGGGAAATTTCTGCATTCCCACAGCCCACTGATGGCAGCCTCCAGCCTGCGATGACCTGACGTGACCGGTGATGGTGGAGGATGCAGCAAACCTCTATGTCCATCACCTTCCCCTCCTCCAAATCCCTCAACGCTGCGGAAGCATCTGTGAAATCCAAGGCAGCCAGAAGCCTGAGCTGAGGAGAGAGCAGGACTTTAACGCTCCACACGCCGGTTGCCAAAGCCCAGCACTGCGCTGCAGGAGCTGGCGAGAGCTCCCGAATGAGATATTGGCCACGTCTACCAGCGCAAAAGCTTCAGCCGACTCCACAGGAGATTAACGGGGGACGATCACCACTGCCCTGCCCCAGGCAAACCCCGCAACGCAGACTTTGCTCACAGATATGGGAAGAGCATGGGAAAATCCTACAAAACACTGCAGAAGGGAAAAAAACCTCCCAATCTCCATTTAGGTCCCTATCTTTCTGCAGGAACTGGGCTGCATTAGGAGGAGTGTGGGCAGCAGGGCGAGGGAGGTTCTCCTCTCCCTCTGCTCTGCCCTGGTGAGGCCCCATCTGGAGTCCTGTGTCCAGTGCTGGGCTCCCCAGTTCAAGGGTGGGTGTCAGGAGGATGGGGCCAGACTCTTTTCAGTGGTGCCCAGCGACAGGACAAGGGGCAACGGGCACAAACTGAAGCCGAGGAAGCTCCAGCTGAAGATGAGGAAGAACTTCTTCCCTCTGAGGGTGACGGAGCCCTGGCCCAGGCTGCCCAGGGAGGCTGTGGAGTCTCCTTCTCTGGAGATATTCCAGCCCCGCCTGGCCGCGGTGCTGCGCAGCCTGCTGTGGGTGACCCTGCTTGGGCAGGGGGTTGGGCTGGGTGACCCCCAGAGGGCCCTGCCAACCCCCAACATTCTGTGATTCCGTGAATAACCCGTGCACTGGCAGGACATGGAGCAACCCCTGGTACGCGACAGGAGAGGGGTCTTGCCCCCTGCCAGCTGGAACAAACGGTGGGCGAGAGGACACCAAGGCAAGAGACGCCTGGAGACACCTTCCAGCTCCCCAGTTCGCGGCGGTGCCACGTTCAGACGGGGCAGCACCAAACACAGGTCACGAGGGAACCATTTCTCCCCCACAAGCACCACCAACCCAGAAGTCCTTCACTCCCTTCTCCTCCCTTGAGACGTCCTGTCTTTCCAGCCCGCTTCCAGGCGCTGCTTCCTGCAGCAGGACGAGCGGGTCCCCGGCACAGCCACTGCCCCACAGCTCTGATCCCTCCCGGATCAAAGTATTAAAATTCCCCTTAATGAGTCGCAAGGAAATCCGTAGGTTTAGGACAGACCCCGTTTCTCTGTGACACACTTCAGCGGCAAAACATGCAGCTACAGGAGACAGAAGAAATCTCTAGGCCTGGGTTAGCAATTTCCCAATGATTTCCCAGAAAATAAAAACGCCAGCGGTGTTTTACATCCACTTAAAAGGTGAAGTCAGTGGAAAGAAAGAGAATAAGGGAAGGAAAATGTGAAGGGATGGAGACGGGTGTGACGACGCTGAAATCACCAGGGCGAGGAGAAAACTTGAATCACGTCCCCCCGAAGTTTTGGAATTATTGCTGGGGAGAGGTTATCGCATCTCGGGCGAAGGGAGGAGCTGGGAAGCCTGGGGAGCCCACACCGTACCTCGGGAAGGGGGCAGAACCCCCCTAATGCCCTGCTGGGGTGCCGGGATAAGTAACAGGAGTGCGCAGCTGGAAGCACTCGGGTCCTTCACCACCCAGTCCTGCTCCCACCGACACGCAGCAGGGACAGCGCCTGGGACTCTGCTGCACACAGACGCGGGGATAAACCCCCAGCGAACTCATTCCTGTCCCTACCACTTACTTCTCCCACCTCCATATGATGCCTGCTGCAAAATTTTCAACATCCAGGCTTCAAGCTTGAAAATAGCGAGGTGTACAGAAAAAAAAAACAAAAAAAAACCAAAAAAAACCATGAAAAAACCGCAGCGTTAACCCCTTACAGCGAGTCATTGGCTGCCAGGAGACACCCGAACCGGCTGATCTGCTGCCAGGGAGCGAGCAGGTGAGCCAGGCGGGCTCTTCCCGCAGGAACGGTGAGGAAAGGGCTGCTTGGAAGAGGCTGCGGCCACAGAACGTCAAATATTACAGAATCACAGAACCACAGAATGGTGGGGGTTGGCAGGGCCCTCTGTGGGTCACCCAGCCCAACCCCCTGCCCAAGCAGGGTCACCCA